CAGGCTCAACTACCACATGCATAAACTAACGACTATATAAAATTCTAAATATGGATGGGAAGCTGATAGTTCAAATTTCAGATACCTCGTTCAACATCAAATGAAGGTATAAATATTCGCAGTAACCCCGGTCGGCTACACCCGAATGGTGTAATATGTATGTAACGATGGTAAGGAGAAGAGTAGTTAACCTCTGCATTAGACATCCCCACACGGTCTCAGTTTTCATGTAAGCTCTTACTTGTGCCCTAGCTGGCTGCCTGGTCTCGAGTGCTAGAGGTCCCGGGTTCAATCCCCTGTAAGGGGTGGGATTTTTTCACATGGACTTAAAATGGAGTTAAAAATCTACCTAGTGTATTTCAGGATCCTCGCCGGTGCTACAGAGCTTGTGTGTGCACTGTGCTTAGCTTCTACGGAGTTAGAAGAAGAACGGAGCACTTATGGGTTACTACCCGTGTGCCATGATGTTAATCCGTTGTTTAAACCTCAAACCTTAAACCTTAAACCTCAAACATCACACTTGTGCTCTATGTTTGAGGTTCATAGTGATTATTGATTATTGAGTACCAGTGGCGCCGCTCTACCACCAACATCCCCCTCCCCACCACGCATTGCAGATTTTTAAGTTAAAAATTAGGGGAGGTAGGGGGTGTTAGGGAAACTTTGGCCGGGTTCTCAGCTCCACTCTACCCTACCCCCCCCCCCCCTACCCCAAACCACGCCTTCCTCACCACCTAGGCAAAAAATTTATGACAGTTCAAACCCCTATTCGACCTCTCCACCCCAACTAGAAACTGGGGACAACTGGCAACCACGCCCCCGCACCACAGTTGTGTGACCAGGATGAGATGCACCCTTTAGCCGTGTATATATTCTTATTTTTATTGAAAGTTCTGAATGCTCGTCCTATTATGGACTTAAGTCTTAAGTTTTACAGATCTGGTTTATTTGTATGCAGACTGCTGGTTGCTTGTCTCTCAGGCCGATACACTCGACGTGGGTTAAGTTGAGTTAAGTTGATTCCCATAAGCGCCCCGTCCCCATCTTCAGCAGGCAGCGAAGAGTTCCAATACTAATGGTGCCAGTAGCATTCTGATTAAACTTCCGTCTTGCCTTTCCTCTGAGCCTCGAGCATCTGCCACAACCTCTCGTCACTTCCCCCTGCATCAGTCTCACCAGACTGTGGTGATCCATCTACTCCTCCGAACTGTACACGCTCTCCGACGTGGAAAAAAACCCTAATTAGTCAACTCTTCCGACATGCTTGTTAAGAAAGCATTAAGTCTGTTCTTGTTCCACTTCCACACCTCAACTGGAGCCCAGCAACTCACTCGTGTAAGTCATGTATACAAATAATTTTTTCAAGTTTTTTTTTTTTTTTCTGATTTCATTGTACTCTTTCCCGCAGATCAAAAGCTCGTAGGTTGGGTTCATGTGGCAGCAAGGCAATTTTTTTAATGACCTTGGCTTTCAGGTCGGCCCACCGTTCAGCGAGTACCAGGTTCAGTCCTGGGAAGTAAAGGCGGTCGGTGTAATGCTGACCATATCACCCACACTGTGCCGATTGAAATATAGGTCTGGCCGTATATGCCCGATACAAGAAGACCTAAAGAGGTGGAAAAGGGTCCCTTTAATTGTGTTTTTTTTTTTTTTTTTGCCTTCACTTTTTCTAAAAAGAGTTGAGTGGGGATGAGGAGAACGCTATAGCTAAAGCGGTGAATTAATTATAACTAACACTATAGCAAAGATAATGAAGAAACTATAACTAATACCATAGCAAAGATAAGGAATCAACTATAACAAACATCATAGCAAAGATAAGGAATTAGCTATAACTAACACCATTGCAAAGATAAGGAATTAACTATAACTAACATCATTGCAAAGATAAGGAATTAACTATAACTAACACTATAGCAAAGAAAAAGAATCAACTATAGCAAACATCATAGCAAAGATAAGGATTTAACTATAACTAACACCATTGCAAAGATAAGGAATTAACTATAACAAACACAATTGCAAAGGTAAGGAATTAACTATAACTAACGTCATTGCAAAGATAAGGAATTAACTATAACTAATACTATAGCAAAGATAATGAATTATCTATAACTAACACCATTGCAAAGATAATGAATTAACTATAACTCACACCATTGCAAAGATAATGAAATAACTACAACTACCACCACAGCAAAGATAAGAAATTCACTTTAACTAACACCATAGCAAACATAATAAATTCACTAAAACATTAGAGAAAGAAAATTTACTATAACCATAGTGAGAAAATTTACTATATCTAACACTATGGCGATGAAAATAAACAAAATAAAAGTAACATTTAACAAAGGTATTTACTGATCTCATGTTGACTGTAGGAGTCGCCGTGGTGCAGTGGCTAAATTTTCGTCCCTGGATCCAGAGCTGGTGTGTTCGGGTTCTGGCAGAGCCAGACCCAGCTTTAAATAAGTATCGAGCATCAGGTAAAATCCTGGGATGTTGACTACATCCCCCACCGAGTGATGATTGATCTATAAAGTAGAGGTCTAGCCCTATGTGCCTAATACGCCTGAAGGCCTGAAAAAATGTTCTTTACTTTACTTACTTTCTTTTGTTGACCTTTACATAAGAGATCAGTTAACTAGTACCTACCATAGCACAGCCCTTCGTTGTATGTCTGACCATCCTTACATTTGTTGGTGCAGTCGCGAGTGTAGGGTTTCTGCCCTTCGTAGTTACCGCTAGACATTGCAAATAGTAAAAAACAAGCACATTTTGTGAGTGAATTTGGTAAAGAGCACTTGAATACCGACTGAAAAACATCTAGATCTGACAACTTTGTCTTGTCACTCAATTTTTGGCCTCACTCGGACATCTCTCATATTCTCTCTCTATCTCTCCATCTCTCTCTCTCTCTCTCTTTCTCTCTCTATCTCTCCATCTCTCTCTCTCTCTCACACACACACACAAACACACACTATCTCTGTGTCTTTCTTTCTCTCTGATCTCTCTCCTGTATTTCTCTCTTTCAAAGCTCTCTTTGTCACTCTCTGACCTAGTTTTCTTGCTCCAACACTTTGGGACATATCTCTCCGTTCACACTCTCTTTTTCTCTATATCTCACTTGACCATTTTCTCACTCTTTCTATCCCTCTCTTTCTACCACTCCATTCTATGACCATATTTTGATCTCTGTTTCTCATTTTTTTTCTAACTTTCTTTAGCATCCTAGTATCTCTGACCTCTTGTTGTCCTTCCCTCTCTTTCTCTCCTCTTTCTCTGACTTCAGTTTCACGACATAGTCAAGCTGTTCACCAGACAAGAGCATCACAACAAAACACGAACTACCGCAGCCCCAGCCACAACTAGCATTGTTCTAAGAAACGCTTTCATTCGCGAACCAAAGACCAGAGCACGAAACAAACGCACGACTTCCAGAGCACGGGGCAATGTTCAAACCTTGCTCATTTGTGCTCTTACTGTCCTACACTGACGCTGCTCCGGTAAAACTTTATATGTCAAACGTAATATGTGGAAGAAGTGCTGACATCTTAAAAGATCTGAACATCAAGGAGGATTCGCTTATGAACAGCATCTTGTCTTGGAATCTGAAATATTTTGGTCATATCAAGCGCAACCGCGGATTAGGAAAACAATAGCGGAAGACATGGTATCAGGAAGGAGGGGCAGGGGCCGATCAACACGAAGATGGGCACAGGATATAAATTACTCCTTAAAAATGAAAGTACCCGAGGCGGAAGAGTTGGCGAGAGACCGAGTTTCTTTCAGGCGTGGTGAGAGCGACGTTTTGCAAATGAACTGCTAATGATGATGATGAATATGTGGCTACAGCCTTATTTTAACACATATTGTGAAGGCTGATGTACGTGGTGCAATGACTGCAATAATGTTAATAATATTTAAATCACCATCGTTGATGTAATGGTTACGCTTATATTATTTCATTAGAAGGAAAATCATTAACTCCGGCCCCCTTGTAAAGGTAGTCATCGTGGGGAAGAGGCCGAAAGTTAAAGCGAATAGATGGAATATTGGTGACGGGGGGGGGGGGGGGGGTCTAGCGGCTAGACGCTCGCCTGCGGATTGGAAGGTTGTGGGTTCGCTTCCTGAAGGACCGAACTTTTTCAGAAATAACCTTGGCTCCAAGATCGACCTAGCCTTGAGTGGGTACCAGGTGCCGTCCTAGGAAGTAAAGGCGGCTGGCGTGATGCTGACCACATCATCCACCAAGTGCCGTTTGGTCTATAGAATATAGGTCTGGCTCTATGTCCTCAATACGCCTGAAAGGCGTGGAAAAGGGTCCTTTACTTAACTTTAGCTGGACTGTGGAGAGCTGTTGCGAAAGACCCAAAACAATAAATAAAATAAGAATAATAACTAACCAGATAGCAGTCTGGTTGGAGCAAATCAGCCAGTCCGTCAGACAGTTAGTGAGTCAGTTTATCTAAGTTATATTAATCAAGTAACATAAAATTTATTGATCGGTACTCACAGAAAGAAGTAGAAAGATAGAAGAACACACTAGACAACATAAACATCGAAAGCCATAGTTACCGTGCCGGGAATTGAACCTGTCACCTCCAGACGGCGTGTGCGCCTCAAAATAGATACAAGTGCACTAAGAACATGGTCAACTGCCCCCCTACGCCCCTCCCCCCCCGCCTTCCCCCCCCCTCTTTCCAAGGTGTCTTATTTGCCATGTCTATCGAACAGCTTGAAATCCACAACCGTGGAATACGGACAAAATTCATATCAAACTATTAAAATGGCACCATAGGTTTCATAAATTTATATTAACGAAGCATATGTGGAATAACAATCACAGCAACAATTTAAGAACACAATCGACCCTAATGCTTTGTCTAGAATACACAAACATTAAAAAAACTTGTTTGATTGGTTGGTTCCGGTGTGTATATGTCATTCCTATGTTTTTTATTTACAGTTTATCTAAGCAATGACAGATGTAATACTTACGGTGGGTAGTAATAGCAGGCGACGAGCCAGATATTTGAACAGTTGTTCAGGGCGCAGCCCACTTCTGTCGTAGTGCTTTCGACCATCTTTAAAACAGAAAAACCAACTGTTGTTTTTAATGTAAAAAAGATGCCGTGTGTAATGATGCTATTAATAGGGATAACGTCAGGGTATGACTGGCATAATCGGGTAAGTCCCTGATAGCATGGGTTTCACGGAGATATGGTGAAAAGACAAGTGAGTCACGTGTGAATGCGAGATCTGGGGGATTGAGAATGAGGTGGTCATTCGGTGACTGGGCCCCAGATTGGAAGGATGTAAAGCTGAATCTCTGTAGGTGAATCCAGAGTGAAGAGTGCACGTGGATCTGAATCATAGTCGAATGAATGTTAGTGCTGAACGACAAGACAGGCAGTGCTATTGAATGATCGTTTAAGCCAGCCGTTGTGTTACACGGTGTGATTGTTGAGCCAGTCGTGTATATGCCATTGTCCATCGTCTGAAGCATGTCTGGAGACTCAATGCTTGAGCAAGGCGAGATTGCCCGAATGGCGTAAGTTAGTTAATCTGTTGATTCGTGTTTCGTGCTACATTGACAATAAACCTGTGAAATGTGTCAGCCGTTGTAGACCGTCATTTGAAGTTGTGTCGTCGTGGAGAGAAGTGCCGTCTGGTTAGAATGAACTGTGACCTACCATCTAGACAACAGAGTCAGTGTTGAGTCTGCACTAGAAAGATCAAGTGTGGTATAGTAGTTGGTCTTCTTATAGTCAATGCATTTGGCGCTGGTAGCTATATCTATTCACAACCTTCTGTTGCGTGTACTTCAGTCAGTTCTGACATGGACGATCTCCCTTGAAATGTCAAACTATCCAGCATCTTCTCTCTCTCTGTCTCCCTCTGCCTTTTTTCCCTTCCAATTTTCCCACTGTCACGATGAACTCCAGTTTTCTCTTTCTCTTGACATGACTTTGAAAAATGTAGATTGTCTGCTTTTGGTATGGGAAAGCAGTTTTCTTCGTGAGTCAATTTCTTTATTAATATTTTTACCTGTCCAATGTATTCTCATCATGCCTATAGAAAAAATTTAAAAAACTTCGCAGCTTACAAAAAATGTGTCCTTATTCGTCCACAGCCCATGATTCCGTCCTTATATCAGGATATGACGTATATAGCTCCAACTGTCCCTGATTCCTTCCTTATATCAGGATATGACGTATATAGCTCCAACTGTCCCTGATTCTTATCCGTATTTCAGGCTCCTGATAATTATTTTCTCGTCTCAATTGACAAGAAATATTGCAAAGAATGTTCTTCCTTTTGTAAAATGCTTCCATTACTTGAGCTATTCTACGAGCATATGATAACTATATTAACATCTTTGACTGACACCGACAGAAAAACGTAAAGAGAAGACACATTATTTTGTACAGTTGCTGGTACGCATGCCTACTGTAAGATTCAATTAACAGCGGTAGCCAGACTTATTCATGTTACTTACCGTGGTAAGGTATCCCTTTAAGGGATACCCTTGGACACATCACATTAACAGATCAACTCTACTCATTTTGCATGAATGTATAATTTTTGAGTGAATATCCATGCATAACATAGGAGGTGGGGGAAAAAGCGGTGGGGGTGGGGGAGATTGACAGAAAGTTGCCTAAACTGGGTTATTTGTTTAGCAGTCATTCTGGGGCTAAAGACAGTTGACTTTAACATTGTTTTGTAGTATTCTCAATAGATCTAGACAGTGCATTCCCAAAGGAACTTGAAAAGTCAATTGTGCAAGTGGTGTTCTATATGATCTGTGAGGCTGATGACTGTGAGACAGACAGTGACTGAAGAGGAGACTTTGAAGATTGGACCACAAATACCAGATGAGTACATGTTTATGAAACGTGAGGTTACAGCCATCCGTAAACTCTGGGCTTACGGCTTATTCTTTCCATACATACCCTCGTGGCTATGATGAACCGAACATTGTGAATTTTGGTAATCCAGGAGACATTCTTGATTCTCAGAGACATTCTTTACGTCTTATATTCTTGTGTATCTTTTCTATGAATCATTCACTTGAATTTTTGCATACTGTTAATAACTGATTATATTGTTATTATGAAAGTACCCGTGTTAGTGTCTGGAATTTCATAGTTCATTTCAGCTAGTTCCTGGCGTGTGATTGTTATTCAGTTCGATTTCTTTTGTGCTATGTGTTGACTGCGATAGAGATCATTTTCAGTCTGAAGGCTTTAAAAGTGGCGAGGAAATCTAGCCAAGCTGTGCCCTGAAATTTCTTTGATGCCAAGAACTTGAGTTATCTCATCCCTGGTGTGGCGTTAGATGGTTGTTGGAGCAACGGGTTTGTTTAGACCAGTATGAGCCACTGTCACAACATTTTGACGTTCTGGAGTGTCTTCTCCATTCAGGGGTGACACTAATTTAGAAACGTGACATAACCGTCTTGTGATAGTGATGGTAGTGATGATAGTAGTG